AGACTCAGCAGAGGCTTTGCGCACTCTCGGGTACATCAAAAGAAATCTGAAGGCGCCACCATCTCATCTCCGGAAAATGGCATACGAAACTTACGTTGGACCAAAGTTGGAGTATGCAGCAGCAATTCGGAATGCTCATCAAATTTATCCCATTAACCATCTTGAGTCAGTTCAAAATCGCACGGCCAGGTCGATTCTTAATGATCATTTCCGAAGAACTAGTGTCTCTGCACTAAAATGCCAGCTGTATAAGTCGCGTCACAAGATATATCATGCTTAACGCCATTTCATAAAATTTTCTATTATAATCTAATGCTTAATAACTCACTCGTACTTCCTCCTTGAAGAGCATCGTCTCGACTAAATCACCCCCCATGTCACATATCTCGGATCACAAACTACTTCAACCAATCAGAGAGAGAGAGAGAATAAACTTTTATTCTGAGCATTTCAGCACAATGGTCTGTGCCGGAAGGAAGGGCTTCCCTCTTTACGGAGATCCTATATGCTGTCTTATCTGCCTGGCCCCTGTTGACCAATTGAAGCTGATTCTCCAGGGCGGGGCTGGACAGCAAGTTCTCCCATCACTCTACAGGGGGAAGGGTGTGGGCGGTGGGTGGTCTTGATTGAATCTACACTCACCTATTTTGTGACGGAGGGCTCCTATATCTTGGCACACTGGGCAGTTCCCACTGTATTGAGTGGGGAACATATGCGACTGAGTAAAAGGGGGTGGGGGAAGGACCCCGACTGAATTTGCCTATATGCTACCTGTTCCTCCAGCGTTAACTTAGGATGCGGGGCTGGCAGTCTGCGCCTTTCCTTGCAGTAGAATGCGACTAGTATTTCCTTTTAGGTGACCATGGGTTGGTCCTGCACCTCTTCCACGGCTGTGGCCTGGTAAGTCAGCGTGCGGGCATGCTGGTGAGGAAGTTTGTTGCCCTCTACCACGAAGGGGGCAGGTACCCATTCAAATTCTATGGGCTCCTTTGGGGGTCTTTTGTTTTTGAGCACCTGCAGCGCTTTTCAGGACACCAAGTCCGACTGGAAGCTCCGGTATGCTTGGTGTGAGTCGGTCATTACGCTGGTTGTGCCTGGCCATAAGTGACCCCGTCTTGTTCCGCAATGCTTTGATCACTCTTTTTGCTAGTGTATTTATGTACCAGTTTTATTTCACACACAATTGTTCTCACTGCTTATATTACTTACCAGCACTGTAGGTGTCAGCCACCTGTCTGTTCATGTGTTGATTTTTTGTATTTTTCATGTATTCCCCCCCCCCCCCACACACACACAAACACACACACACTCCTTATGTAATGCTCCTGTTGGGGCCTTTAAAGTTACAATAAATAATATATATATATAAAAAAAAAAAAAGCTACCAGCAACATTGGAAGAATTTAGGAGCAACAATTTTGAATTCCTGTGCCGACGCGACGCAACTTCACACATACCTTGAGCACATTATATAACATTCCCACCCGATCTGATCGGCCTTCCTAATCAGTTTTATTTTCATATGTTCAGTGACAATGCAAGCCAGTTTTAGATACTCTACTTTTATAATATTACTTTTCCGTACTTCTCACTGCAACATTTTCATGGCGAGCATACTGTTCCCCAGATCACGAGAGCCGCACACAAGTAGCGAGCCTCAGTTTGGGCATCTAGGACGTAGTAAGCTGTTGTGCGTCTCGTACGCACTGCAAAATCTGCGTAAAACGATCCAAACTTCTTTCAGCAAGCGCTGTGACCCAAGGGGGTATCGGAGGTCGAGTGTGTTAGCGCACCGCAGCTCGTACGGCGAAAGGTCCCGCTGCCAGGGATCCCCACCCCTACCCGTTTCGATCTGTTGTGAGGCACAGACCCCAGGCTAGCAGTCGTACTGTAGTGGCTAAATTTTCTCATCTACAGCCTGAAACGGTGTCGCCAGAACCTAGACAGGCCGATCGCACGCTATTTAAAATAATGAACGTCTTATTTTCCCAAGTAGCACAAAATGTGGCTACAACGTTACTGGAATGTTGTCAGGTAACGTTGCCGAACGCTGCTAACGACCGCGGATTCTACACTCCAGTAACGTTACAGCACAATGTTACAGTAACGTAACTGCATACGTTACCTGGACATTACCCAAATAATGTTACTGGAACGTTGTTAGATAACGTTGCCAAACGTTGCTAATGGCCACCAGTTCTACCTTCCAGTAACGTCACATCAAAACGTTGCAGTAACATAGCTCTCTATGTTACCTGGATGCTAGATCAGTGATGTTACTCGGACGTCGTCGCTAACATTGATAGTTGTTGTTAATGGCCACGAATTCTACCATCCAGTAATGTTACACCAAAATGTTGCACTGACATTACGGCTTACTTAAAAGTGAAGGAATAAAAATGTGAAGAACATACACAAACGACCACTCTTTCATTTCGCAACAACGTTTATTTTTTGAGGAGCAAAGAGTCGCATACAGGTCGAGATCAACTAGATACCGAAGGTGGAGTGTTACTGACTCATCCCTTATCTCCCTAAAGTTCCTTTGATCAAGCCTTCCTTTTGCAGTTAATCTTGACCTGTGCGCGAGTCTTTGCTTCCAAAAAACGAGCGTCGTAACTAAATGAAAGAGCGGTCATCTGTTTTTCCTCAGTGCTTTTATTCTGTTAACTTTCAGTAAACATTTTTACAATATGCTGGCACTGGCCAGATATTACTGCACGTGTTACTTAGACAGTACTGAACAATGTTATCCGAAAATACATTGACAAGCGCTGCCAGGAAACTGCATTTATGGTTGTCATGAAGTCATTTTTTGAGCTGGTGCCTGATATGAGTAAATGGATGTGCATTACAGGCCATTAATGAATCAGCATTTTGAAATCCTAGAAGCAGGACTCCGGAAGAAAACAAGAAGTTATTGGAATAAATTTATTTCAAAAACGAAACCAACATTACAAGTACCAGAGAATTCTTCTGTTTCTTAGAAGCTATTAGATCTACAAAATTGTAAAGAACACACTAAATTACAAGGCTGATCTGCATAAAAATAAAAATGTAAAATATTAAAACTCCCAGCAACATAAAGCAAGTAGCCTAAAATAAAATTCTAAATATATCTCAAATTACACCCGATCTTGGGCTAGGACATATAAATAAATAACGGAGGCAATAAACCAAAAATGACTAGAAAAAGAACATAAATTTTAAATCTTCTAAAAATACCACACTAATGTGTACATAAATTAAATAAAACAAACCACTAGCTGGGGCTAAAATGTATGCATGAATAGAAATTAAAGGTAACATATGCATATTACAAATTGACATAAAAAATTCAAACAACAGGGACTCTACTCATGGGATGGCTGTAAAAAAAGGAGAAAGAAATCATTAGAAAAAAAAGCATTTTAAATGATTTAGGTAGCATGAATTTTTTTTTTTTTTTTTCATTCTATGCATTTAGCACGGTTAACCAATTCCATGCTTCCAACTGGGATCAAAGTAACCAACTACTAACATTTAAAACTAACAGAAAAATCAAGGCAGAAACATGCTGAAAAACAGCGCAAAATGCACGGATAAGAAAACACACAGGACAAGGCACTGTGTGTTCTTTTTCCTTTGTCTGGTTTTCGCACCGTTTTTTAACATGAATTCTTACCAACTAGCCCAGCCCAACTGTCCATCCTTGTAATCAGAAACATGCTTGCCTTCTCCCCTTGTGGCAGCCCCTCAGTCACTCCTGAGAAGAGGCACACTGCTCCTGCAAAAAAATAACACAAAAAAGTTGGTTGCATTCAGAAAATGGGTGCCTATTTCAGGGAAGAGAGTGTCATCAAGATAAAAAAAGAAATGCCTACATCTGTCCTAGCAGTTTCACCACAGTTTCTTTGCATGCACAAGCCATTCTTTTCATCCAGTTTAGACTTTTACCGTAAAGTGTGACCTACCCACAGAAGACAGTGGATATGCGACTTGTTCTTTTCTGGCAAGGTAGGCGGCTGTTCTCGGCCACTCACTTTTTCCCACTTCAACCTTCTATTTATTCATGCGTGAAAGGCACTTTCTTAAGAGGGAAACAGCTATTTTCTGCAGCACCTTTTTTATTTTGTATTTGTAGATTTAACTTTGTTTTCATTTTATCCTAAGAGAATAGCTTTCTTTTTAAGAACATAGATGTTCTTCTACTAATAAATATAAATAATAAATTAACAAAGAGAGGAGACACGTCTTTTCTTTTCCCCGTATCATGGGCCACGGAGACAGATCACTGCCTCAAGGACGGCTTCGTCTTGAAGCAGAATAGGTCTCTTCAAGGACGAAGATATATATACGCTTTTGAATGGACGTGCATTCATCACTGCACCTGATGATCACAGCTTTTAAAAGTGTTGTTAGTGTTACCGTGTCTTATTGGCCTCATTAACAGAAGTCATCATTTACTAAAAAAAAAGAATAGAAGGTGACAAAAAAAGGTTCCTTCCTTTTATATATATATAAGTTTATAAGTTACAATAAATATTAAAACACTGCTATCCTCCCGGCACTAAAAAGAAAAATATTTCTACTGCTCAAATAGGCTACGTTCAATGAAACAACTTCGATGAAATGGCGTTCAATGAAACAGCGTTCGATAAAACTGCGTTCAATGAAACAGCTTCGATGAAACAATGTTCAATGAAACGGCGTTTGATGAACTGTCCGGACCCAGGGGCAATGTCAATGAGCCTCATATTTTCTACAATGTCAAGCTCATTGCAGACAATGTCATAACATGGTGTTCTTTCATTGGCTAAATAAATTTCTTAATACTTAAAAATGTCTTTATGTAAAGTAGACTAATGCCTTTGTTTGAAATCTGGGCTTGTTTTAGGATGCAAAAGTATTTTTCGGGAGTTTAAGCAAAATTAGAAATATCATATTACCATTTTCTTGGTCCTAGCTGGTGCATGCCTGACCGATTCAGCAGCAGCCCATTTGGCGTCGGCTTCCTGCACGATGATGGCTGGCTCATTGTTTTCTGCCTTCTGTTTAAAGCAGGTGCGCACAGCTCCTGTTTCAAAAGTATATAATTACAACACAATGTCAGCTACCACAGTGAAATATCGACAATTTCATGCCCTACTTCAGCATAACTTGGCAGACATCGGTAACTATGAAATCAGCCAGGGTGTCTAGCAAATTCCTCCTTTTAAGTTCCCCAGCTTTTCCAGGTTTTAAATTCCCTGTCCATTACAGAAGTTTGGAGATGTGGTACGAACTGCTACTAAACACCTCAAAAGTGAACACCACTCACAATTTAAAACAATTTATTGAAATCGGTCTTTATGCTGCTCAAGAAGTCAGACTTACAAAGTTTCGGGCAATGGTATTTAGCACAGCCACGTCAATGCACGACTCTCCTGGCTTCGTCGCACACCACCGCATTACTCGCCCTGGCCATTTTCCCTGATTTAGCTAACTTTTTGATTATCTCCCTGACAATTCCCTGACTTTTCCAGATGATCCGAAATTTCCTGACAATTCCAGCTTTTCCAAGGTGCTAGACACCCTGTCAATGAACCAGATAGCTCGGGAGCGAGGCATGGGACAAAACTCCACTGTAGTGAGCTTATGTGGGCTGCTGTCACATGCTTCACCAGGACACAGTTTCCTTTCATCTAAAAGAGCCAAATCCAGAAAACTGAAACCAAGCAAATTTTTGTATGAATTCAAACTATATTCGTTGGTCCATCGATCTCAAATGCTACTACAGTGAAATCGGTCAGAGTACGCTATAAAAACCATAGCAGAGGTGGCTGGGGCACATGGCTCAAAGCTATACTGATAAGCAAACATACCAATTTATCTGTTTTGCTTCATGTGGTTTTTGCCTTTTTAGAAAAAAAAAAGCTCCTCACTTGTGTGCCCTGTTTAGCTATAGCCATTTGTTGTTAAAAGGCAACTCTGCTTAATTCCAAAACTTCTGGAATTATAAGACTTCAAATAAAAATAAAAAATAAATTTAAAAAGAAATATAAAAATAACTATTTTATTTCATGCATTGGTGGAATATTTCCTATGCAATTTTGCTTTAAACATAGCCCAAATAAAACCCGAAACATCGGCTTCTACAGGCAACAATGGCAGAGACGGAGGAGACATGACCAATCCCATGGTACAAATGATGATGTGCTACCCCTGCGAGGACGACGCAAACAGACTGGCCTGAGTGTTGTCTGCTCCGTGTCGGACGACATCCGCACCACTGCAACCTACGCTAAAGCCAAGTTTTCTCAAAGGAATAAATATCTCAGGAACATTAGTATGCAGCGAGGTCTACTAAATAGTACATAAATAAGCCATTGAGTATGTGAACATTGTGCAAACAATGCCATTATTATTTAACAGAGGTGAACCATGAGAAACGCGCACATCCAGGTCTGTGCCAATCATGTGGACACCGCTGAACCAACTTTTGGAGAAGACATTGCTCAAGTCAAGGACTGACTGTGCATGGAAAAAACAAAGAAAACGTAACAATGCACCTGACATAGTAAATTGATGTTTGGTGCACTGAAGCCGTAGTAGCAACTGCGCTGTCGTTTGCGCCTACATTGTCAGCTAGGGTTAGCAGTTTGCTGATCCATTTCATAAAGATTTAAATGGAGATAATATTGGACATGTGGTTTTCCTAGATGATACTGAAGAAGCCTTTGTTTTCTCTCACTAACAAAAATGAGACAGAGTCTGCAAAATGGCGGGCCCTTGCGCGCTGCCATCTTCCAGCTCGGGTGCACCCCAGATAATCCGATTATGAAGGCTTGCTAAAGCGTCACTAAGCTAATTGACAGATTGGTACCCTGAGAGCACGTTTCCCTACCCATGGTGGCTAGACTACTTTTGGAAACATGACTGCTTGCAAACGTGTATAGCTGATTGTGTCATTCAGCTATATGGTAATGTACCTTACACCAAAGAGTGCTCGGTGGTGTAAAACAAAATGTACCACCTTTCTTTAAGAAGTGGTCAATCCTAACGCTGCCCAAACCATTCCACATATAAAGCAGAGGACAGGTTCATAAAAAGTGCTAGGGTTAGAGTGCGCAAACAGCAAGCATTCTAATGTATCCTTTGACCAGAAAGCATAGATAAATAAACAAAATAAATTAAATTGTAAAATAAAAATGACTAGTACAGCAGAATTATGCAAACATGAGGTTGCAGCAATACAAAGCAAACATATGCACCGTCAAATTAAAAATATCCACTTCACCATCCCTTAGGCTATAACTGTCCTTGTGCGAGGAAGCATACCACAACTAGCAGCTTTGTAAAATTAAAAATGACTAGATAAAAAAATGAAAGCCGTTTACAACTCCCTGTAACGCTAAATTAGAGTGCAGCTCTAGAGGAGGAGGGAAGGGTCCCGAGGAAAGGGTATACCCCTCCTCCCTGCCACACCTCCCTCTGAGCGGTGTCGCCGTAACCGTGAGGTCACGTGACCCTCCTGACGGGGGTCACGTGACCCCGCGAGGACAATTGGGCATGGTGCCGAAACGTAACCTTGCCGAAACGTCGCCGCGGTCACGGCGACGGCGACACCACTCAAGCCGGAAACGGGCGCCTAAGAGCTGCGCTCTAAAAGAAACACCAAAACAGCAGGTGCTCAATAAACAATATGGATACCATTCATTATCACAATTGCGGCTAACCAAGCTGAGGCTAATCACATAAAATAAAAAATCTAAATGCTGGAAAGCGTTAAGAAATTGCAGCAACAAAAAGCAAACATACACGTGTGCGTTTTTGCTTGGGCTCTGGTGCACGTTCTGGAAGTTGAGGGGCTGGCTGAGTGTTACGTCGTTCCTGCATAAGAGGCAAGCTTGATGAAAAAGGAGGGCAAATGAATCCCGAATACAAAGGTGTTGCAGAAATTTAGGTGCATACATCTTGGTCATAGAAGTCCTCATCCTCAAATGAAGAAAGAGTATGCTGCAGTCTCTTCCTTTTTCTCTTCTCCCGCTCTTCATTATTCAATATTGGGTCGGACGTCGCTTCCGAATTTTTTTTCTTTGAACTTTGCATCTTCATATGTCACTGAAACAAGAAAGCCGAGCACACCAGTCAAATGTTTAACCACCACAAGCTTGTATGCACCCTAAACTTTTGTTCATTAAATCAAATATGCTCGCTTTATGGTTAGACAGCTTTTAGGTTAAAGCCTGCCAACTTTTTCGGGCTCATGTATATAATCTGTGAGGATTGGGCCAGCTCAGGTTTATATTAAAGAAAACAAAAATTTTGTCGGGCTCGTGCTGGGCTCAAGTTTCTGTCTAAAATTCTGTCGGGTCCGGGCAGGGCCCGAGCCGTGTCTCTTCAAGGCCAAGTCTGGCCGGGCCCGGAAATTAAATATTCTATTAGGCTCGGGCCAAACCCGGGCCGTGCCTCTACTGGGCCGGGTCTAGAAATTCTGGCTCGTGCAGTGCTCTAGCACACTCTACATTGGGTGAGCAGAGTCCGCGCTCCGCTCTAAGCAGAATTTATTGCCTATTTCTCTGCCCCAAGGTTCTCAACTCTTTGCTCAGGGCACTCAATGGCATTTCCAGCTCATTTTCCATGACTGGGCTTGATTTTTGACAATATCCCTGATTTTTCCCGGTAATTAAAATTTCCCTAACAATTCCCGGTTTTCCCGATTGCTAGACACCCTGCTATACTTACAACATGATGCCATCACCTGACAGGAGAATGTGGCCCAGTCAGTCGAGGGCTCTTCACGCTCTCCAATTGCCATCATCAACCGATTTGATTTGTAGGGTGGCCATGCCGTGCAGCCATAGCACACCCAACAGGTAGGGACAACTGCGACATCATTTTCCGCCAAAAAATGGACAAGAGAGTACATTTCCTGAAATCAACAAATAAAGCCGTTATTACCTTAAAGACCAGTCATAAGTCACTAAAAATACAGTTTTCGAATTAAGCACAACCAATGTACAATAGTTGCAAACATAGATCACACTTGCAAGTGAAGTAGATAAAAAAACAGCATAGCCCTGGTTATCGAAAAAATAGTCAGAGTGCAGGCGAGCTGGTGTAAGTTGAACATGATTGTAAACCTGAGACTGGGGCAGAAAAGAGAACACAGCAGAAGGTAGAAAAAGGGGAGGCAACGTCTCAAACTCAGCTGCAAAGTTTATTTCGTACACGCCTTATATACCACAACTCCAACGCCGAATGGCGGTGGTTATGCTGGAATGTGACCCTTTGTGTGAGTGTTTTGCAGGAGAGGTCAAGGGAGATAAGAGAAGGTTTACCCAAATTTCATTGTCCTCTTGTCATATATATTTTTTTTTTTTGTAGAGACAGCGTTGGAGTTGTGGTATATAAGGCGTGTACGAAATAAACTTTGCAGCTGAGTTTGAGACATTGCCTCCTCTTTTTCTACCTTCTGCTGTGTTCTCCTTTCTGCCCCAGTCTCAGGTTTACAATCATGTCCCTGGTTATATTGCAAGCAGACGCACTTCCACCTGATGTCCTGCACACTCCCCACTGAATACTGCATGGAGAGCCCTGTAGCTCTAAAAATTCCTAGCTCTGATGATGGCAGATTTGAAGTGTAAAGGTTGCCGAGATTTCGGAAAAACTGTCCGCAGATGCTACAGTTCCCATCTGACTCAATCAAGTTCCTAACAACAGCAATGTTGCCATACTTCAGTTGAACACAGTTGTCGGACGCCTTCAGAGAGAAATGTGCTCCGTCTAAAACAAGCTCACTGCACTGGGTTTTCTTGAAGCTTGGCGGCTCAGGTTGTTGCTTGAGCAGAGCACACTTCTGCTGCACAGAACTTGACACGGTGGTGGAATTCACTTCTGAGTGCCTCTTGATAACCTGCTGCAGCGCCAAGGAAGGACCCCTCACCAACTTCTTGAGCTTCCCAAGGAAGTTCTCAAAGGGAAAGGCCGAGAAGGTGTTGACAGGGCCGAACCGTCGAACTTCTTGTCAGGTGGATCAGGGAGTGCATGTTGTAGACATAAACCCCCTCATACAAGGTACCAGCTCCAGAAACAAACTCTCTCAAGAGAGATTCTGCAAGATCACAGTGTGTCAAAGAAAATTTGGGGCTGGCTAGGATGGTCATAACACAGCTCAGCTTTATGAAGTGTCCATAAAAGCGCTTTTCCAAATGGTTTGTAAGGACCACTGGCCCGGGGGAACTGATAAGGGGATAGAGGAAAGGGGGTTTTGAAGGCCGGGGATTTTGAAGAGGGGGAGGTAACGCGGGGAATTCGCAGCGGGGATTTTGACACAGGTGTTCTGAGATTAGGTTATTTCGTGCACCACTCGTATCACTCGACTCAGATTCACACTCGGAAGCTCGTTGGTATTCAAACTCTCCGGAAAAACTTGAATGTGCTGCCACGGCCTGTTGTACAGGTGCAAGAGGGTATGCTTCCTCAGTGTCCACAGACTCCTCACTGCTCGTACCGCAACTTTCAAGTTCCTTGCGAACACTTTCGGCTACTCTACGTCTTTTTTAACGATCGGATAGCTCTGATAGCGAACGCTTCGCCCGCTCCATTGTTCAGCACAAGTAGTAACAACAACGAAAATGAAACATACCTTTGTTTACGTTTCCTCCACGCCGAGAGATCGGCAGAGCGGTCCGATGAAACAGGCCTTGACGGTCCGTTGACATACGGTCACGTGGTCAACCTGGCTTCGACCTTGCTTGGCTTGAGCTACTTGCACTCTTGGCATCTTGGCTTGTCAACAGTGTGCGTAAACGAGTAAACGACTAAACATGAAGTTTCAAGTAGGAATAAACTGTGGAAATTTATATGACAGTACTAAAATAAGTTTTTTTTAAGAGTTATAAAACATTACATTGATTGGAGAAATTGGAAATTGGTCTAAGCCGTACAGCCATAACCGTAATGCCGTACTAGTGTGCAATCATGGCGGACGATGGCGATCTTGAACGTCTTGCAGTGATCAGTGGATGACCTCGACCGTAATATCGGTAACGATAGTGAACTGTTAACATCGAAACGGTAGTACCGTAGCTATGCGACTGTGCTGTGCCATTGTGATGTGTCCAGATAACAAATGTAGGCAAAGAGTGGTCCACGCAGAGCGAGCTTCGAAGCCTCAAGCTCAAATATGTTCTCGTGTCGACGGCTCTTGGGCGAGAAGTGAACGGGGGCTAACAATGTGTGTGCGATTATCCTCGTTTCATTATAATTAGGGTCCATATTAGATGAGCGAATGACGTTTTAGCAAACAGCGGCATTTGAGCGAATCGACGTTTTAGCGAAGAGTAAAGCTATACGCACTCCGGAGTGCGCTTCGCGCGGAAATGGCTATACGCACTCCTCCGAGAGATCATGCCGCTCGGGCCACCCTTTTCGAACGGCGCGTGAATCACTGGGGCGCTCGTTAACACAGCCCCCCGCCTGCGTTCACGCCGCTTCGCGGCGACAGTATCGGCTGCTAATTACAAAGCGTAACCAGTACACGCCGCTTCGCGGCGTCCAGCCGGCAATCCAAGCCCCGCTGTCCCCGATCGCACCTCCGGAAAGGGAGTCCGATACCATTTAGTTCTGCGAAGTTTCTCGACAACATTCGATTTTTTTTTTATTTTTTTTTTTTTATTGTTCATTGCAAAAAAGGAAATGTCGTAAATATCGCCAAATGTCTCGACAAAACAAAATGTTCGAGGAAAAAAAAAAAAAAAAAAAAAAAGTAGGCCCACCACGGATCGAACCCGCGTCTACGTGCGTATGAGGCGGACACCCTAACCCCTATGCCATGGCACCGCTTAGGAAACTCGTTGTGTCCACTCTTTTTATACGAGAAAAGAGGAGTGCGTATAGCCATTTCCGTCCGAAGTGCACTCCGGAGTGCGTATAGCTTTACTCTTTAGCGAATAACGGGGGCGCGCGTTAACCCATCCGCCGCGCGGCGAGTCTGCGGCGGCTCATTACAAAAATGTGAACCCACTTGGCCCACCCGAAAACGCCGCTTCGCAGCGTCCGAATTTTCGCTAAAGTGTCATTCGGTGAAACGTGGACATTCGCTAACACGTGACTCGATAAAGTGAGTGCCTCCCCCCTTGGGGCCCTTCATTTTGAGTGGTCGGCGGAGTGCGTCCTTGTATCCGTGGCCCTTGATGCTAGATCTCCTTCCTACCTGCCCCTGCCCCCCCCCCCCCCCCCCCCCCCCCCCACCCCCCCCGCCTCTCACTCACTTTTCTTTAATCTCACCCCATTCCCGTCCCATCCCTCCTATGTTGCCTTTTCTAACCTTTCACTCCTCATTTCCTCGCATGATTTAATATTTGTGGCCCCCCCCTTCCCCACCTTCATAGGATTATATGTTCGTTGCCTTTGACCTTTGATCTCGACTTCGGACCCTTGACTGCTCCTCCTCGCCATCTCCCCTTCTATCTCCTCGGTCTCCTTATTCCTCCCTCCCCTCTTCCTCTACTCTCTTGTCCACCTTCCTCTTCCCGCTACCCATCCTACTCATCTTTCCTCCCCTCTTCCCCCTTCTCTCTCGTTGGAGTGATTCTATGTTCATGGCCTTTGACCTTTTCTTTTTGGTGGCAGCTGCATATGGCTCTTCATTTTGAGTGGTCGGGGAGGTGTGATCTTGTGTCCATGCAACCGAGGCCCATGACCTGCGATGTTTTACGTCTTACCTGGCCCCACCCCGTGCCATCTCCTCATTCCCCATTGGTCTCATATTCCCTCTGTGTGCTCTTCCTCCCCTCTTTCCTCTCTCCTCCGTCTGATCTTGCTCCTCCCTGCCCCACTTCTCTTCATCTTTCTCTTCATGCTCCCTCAGCCTCTCATCCTCATTCCCCTTTTCCTTTTGTCTCCTCTCTTCCTTGTGTGAGCGTGTGTTTTTGGCCTTCGACCTTCATACTTGACCTCTTTCTTCCTGCCTCTATTCTCCTTCCCATCTCATCGCTCACCTTCCCCCTCAACCGTCTCCCTTTTCCCCTCCTCTGTCTATGAGACAATGGCTACCGC